TGAAGAAATGAAAAATCTGATTAAAAAAAAAAAACAAACCTGATCAGAACAATTACTAGTAAGGAGATCTAATCAGTAATCAAAAATCTCCCAACAAACAAAAGTCCAAGACCCCAGGGCCTCACTAATGGATTCTACCAAATTCTTCAAAGAAGGATACCAATCCTCAAACGCTTTCAAAAAAATAGAAGAGAAGGGAACACTTCTAAACTCATTTTACAAAGCCAGTATTACCCTGATACCAAAATCAAAGACACCATAAGAGAGAAATTTACAGGCCAATATCCATGATGAATACCTATGTAAAAAGCCTCAACAAAATGCTAGCCAACAATACATTAAAAACCTCATACAGGGATCCCTGGGTGGCGCAGCGGTTTGGCGCCTGCCTTTGGCCCAGGGCACGATCCTGGAGACCCGGGATCGAATCCCACGTCGGGCTACCGGTGCATGGAGCCTGCTTCTCCCTCTGCCTGTGTCTCTGCCTCTCTCTCTCTCTCTCTCTCTCTCTGTGACTATCATAAATAAATAAAAAAAAAAAAAAAAAAAACCTCATACACCATGATTGAGTGGAATGTACCCTTCGGATGCAAAGATGGCTCAACAGCTGCAAGTCAATTGGCAGGATACACCACAGTAAGGAGATGAAGGATAAACATCAGGTGATATTCTCAACAGATGCAGAAAAAGCATTTGACAATATCCAACATCCATTCATGATAAAAACTCTCAACTAAGAGGATGTAGAGGGAATGTCCCTCAATATACTAAAGGCCATAAAGGACAAACCCACAGCTAACATCATACTCAATGGTGAAAAACTGGAAAGATTTTCCTCTAAAATCAAGAACAGGACAAGGATGTCCTCTAGTCAACATAGTACTGGAAGTCTTGGCTAGAGCATTTAGGCAAGAGAAAGAGATAACAAACATCCACATCAAAAAGGAAAAAGTAAAATTCTCTGCAAATGACATTATATTAGGTAGTGAAAGCCCTCAAAACTCCATGAAAAAGCTGAGAATAAACAGGTTCAGCAAAGCTGCAGAATACAAACTCAATATAAGAAAGTGAGTTGCATTTCTATACACTAATGACATACCATCAGAAGGAGAAATTAAGAAAAACAATTCCATTTATTTATTTAAAGATTCCATTCATCCATTCATGAGAGACACAGAGAAAGAGAGGCAGAGACACAGGCAGAGGAAGAAGCAGGCTCCATGCAGGGAGCCCAAGTTGGGACTCGATCCCGGGCCTCCAGGATCACGTCCTGAGCTGAAGGCAGTGCCAAACCACTGAGCCACCCAGGCTGCCCCACAACTCCATTTACAATTACATCAAAGAGAACAAAATACCTAGGAATTAATTTAACCAAGGTGGTGTACAGACCTGTACAATGAAAACTGTGACACTGATGAAAGAAATTGAAGAAGACACAAATAAATGGTAAGTTATTCATACTCGTGGATTGGAAGAATATTATTAAAATGTCCATATTACCCAAAGCAACTTAGAGATCCAATGCAATCCAAAATTCCAATGGCATTTTCACAGAAATAGATCAAACCATCCTAAAATTTGTATGGAACGACAAAAGACCCCAAATGGCCGAAGCAATCTTGAGAACAAAGCTGGAGGCATTATGCTCCCTGATTTCAAAATACATGACAAAGCTACAGTAATTAAAACTGTAGGGTACTGGCATAAAAACAGACACACAGATCAATGGAAGGGATAGCACAGAAATAAACCTATACATGTATTATCAATTAATTTATGGCAAAGAAGATGAAGAAATACAATGGGGAAAAGACAGTTTCTTCAGTAAATGGTGCTGGGAAAACTGGAGAGCCACATGTAAAAAAAAAAAGGAAAAAAAAAACCTGGATCACCATCTTAGATCATATACAAAAACCAACTCATACCAAAGCCTTGAACATACGATTTCAAACCATCAAACTCCTTGACAAAGGTTCTTGCAGGATTTTTTAGATTTGACACCAAAACCAAAAGCAACAAAAATAACAAGTGGACTATATCAAATTTAAAACTTCTGCACAGCAAAGGAAATCATCAATAAAATGAAAAGGCTACCTATGGAATGGGAGAAATTTTTCCCATATATCTGATAGGCAGTTAATATCCAAAATATATAAAGAACTCATGCAACTCAACAGAAAAAAACCCACCCAAATAATCATTAATAAATAAGCAGAGAATCTGAATAGCTATTTTTTCCAAAGACATATAAATGTCCAACAGATACATGAAATAGTGCTTAACATCGGTAATCATGTGTAAAATGCAAATCGAAATCACAATGAGGTTATCACCTCACACCTGTCAGAATGGCTAGTATCAAAAAGATAAGAGATAACAAGCATTGGTGAGGACGTGGAGAAAAGGGAACCCTGCTGCACTGCTGGTGGGAATGTAAATTGGTGCAGCCACTGGACAGTATGGAGGTGTCTCAAAAAATAAAAAAAATAGATCTACCACACGGTCTAGCAATTCTGCTTCTGGGTATTTATTTGAAGAAAAATTGAAAAGACATAGGCATTCCCATGCTCATTGCGGCAGTATTTATAATAGCTAAGACACAGAAACAACCTGATAGATGAATGAAGAAAATATAGTGTGTGTGTGTTGTGTGTGTCTATATATAGCCCCCAAAAAGAAGGATATCCTACCATTTGCAACAACATGGGGGCGTGGACTCTGAAGGCATTACTCTAAGCGAAACAAGTCAGACAGGAAAGAAAAATAAACACTACATAATTTCACTTACCTGTAAAATCTAAAAAAAAAGAAAGAAAATGAAAAAAAAAAAAAAAAAAAAACCGAACTCAAATACAGGACAATCAGCAAGTAACACTGTCTTGTATACCTGAAAGTTGCTGAGAGAGTTTTCATCACCAGCTACAAAAAACCTGGAACTATGTGAGGTGAGGCATGTCACCTGAACTTACTGTGGTGATCATTCTGCAATATGTACAAATACTTGGATCAAATCCAACCAAATATATTTACCTTATATATACTGATATCAAATAAAGGTACATAAACATGTATCAAATCATTATGTTGTATGTCACTAATACAATGTTATATGCCAAGTATATCTCAATTAAAACAAAAAAGATCATCTGAAATCTAAGGATGCTGCTGCAAAAAAGGGTACTTGTCAAGTCTTCCAAGATAAAGGTGTGCAGCTTCAGGAAGAGGGGACCAGGAGCAGCCTCTTTGTAGGACGACTGACCTAACGTAACTTAAACTGGTAAAATTAAGCTTAAGAATAAGACTCTGTCAGTGTTCACAAGGTTGAGTCAGTATAAACAAGAAGGTACCCGAACCCAGAAATCTCTCACACAAAGACAACAAATTAGGCTTTGTAAGTAAAGGTAAATAAAAATCTTGTTTTGAAATTGCTTTTTGTGACAAAAGGCAAAACAGACTTTTTCCTCACTGTTTTCTTAGAGTATTTCCTTGAGTAAACTTACACAGTCGACCCTCGAACAACAAGGGGTTAGGGATGCCAACCCCTGAGCAGCTGAAAAATCCATGTGTAACTTGGGACTCCCCCCAAACTTGAGTAAGAGCCTGCCATTAACTCGAAGCCTTACTGAAAACAATGAACATATTTGGTATATGTCTTATATAAGGTATTCTTACAATAAAATAAACTAGAGAAAAGGCAATGTCAAGAAGAACATAAGGAAAATACACTTACAGAACTGTGCATATATTGAAAAAAAAAAATCTCGTGTAAGTAAACCTGCAGTTTAAACCCCTGTTGTTCAAACGTCAGCCAGAACTGTAAATCCTCTGTCTCTTTGATATAAATGGCATTTAAAAAATATTTTATTTATTTATTCACGAGAAACACAGAGAGGCAGAGGAACACACAGAGGGAGAAGCAGGCTCCATGCAGGGAGCCCCCTGGGGGACTTAATCACAGGACCCCGGGGTCATGACCTGAGCTGAAGGCAGGCGCTCCACCACCGAGTCACTCAGGTGCTCCAAATGACTTTTAAAAAGCTAAGTAGCCGTCTTGCCAGTTTACATGCAAGAAAGTCTTTCTTAGGGGCTTTTGGGGTCATCTATGTGAAATGTAAACATCAAAAGATGGAGCGCAGACCCCTAAGTTTAGCGTTGCGCTGGCTCCACGTGGTAACCACCTGCTCATCATAAAGATCCCGAGAAATCTTATTTTCCTCTGGATCAAGGCGATTAGCTAACAGCGATAGCCACCCCGATTACCAGCGAATTTAGGATGGACTCTGTGTGAATGGTGCTGTCAAGCCCTCTTGAGGACAAGTTCCTGTTTATCTTCAGAACATGCAGATGACACGAAACAGACTTTATCCGCCAGATACCCGAAGGGGTGAGACGTGTGTCTTCTCAATCCCATCAGCTGATCGCCTGTGATGGGCACGGCAATCAGGAGTCGCGCTTATTCAACAATAAGGCTTTAGTTCTTTCCTCCATTTGTAGGGAGGAGTTTCTTGGTTGGCATCCGTGACCCGCACTATCCAAGAACACCCAGCAAATCCTCGGAACCCCGATGCACCACCGGCTTTGGGGCAGCAACCACCCCGGCGCTGGGTCGCGGGGGGTCGCGGGGGGGGCGCCCCCAGCTCCCCGCGCGGGCAGCTGTTTCCATCCGCCGGCCCAGGGCCTCCGCAACTTCGCAACCGAACCGCAGGGAGTCCCCGGGCCTTCCTCCTTCCGGGGCGGCCGCAGGCACCACCGCACCTGCCGCTGCGGGTCCTGACGCCCGGGCCGCGCGCGGGTCAAGGGCCGGGAGCGGCTTTACCCTGAGAAACCACCCAATCCTCCGCGGGGACGCCGCCCTCAGCCAGGAAAATCCGGGCGTTTTCACCCCGGGATTTTGGACGAGGTGGACGCAGGCGGAAGCTCAGAACCCCACCGAGGGGGCCGTCGTCCGTGCCCCTGCCCCCCCCCGCCCCGCCCACCTGCCGGGCACCCCGCGGCCTCACCTGCCGAGCGCGAGGGGCGCAGCCGAAGCCCGCGGGCGCCTCGCCGCCGGCCCCGCGCCAGCTTGTAAATGTAGTAGCAGGCACCGGCCCCGAGGACCAGGCCCGCCGCCACCCAGCCCACGTCCCGGGCGCCGCCCATGCTGCCCTGGGGCCGGGGCGCTGCGCTGGGCCTGGCGCGCGAGGCGGGGAGCAGCGGATCCCGCCACCGCCGCCGCCTCAGCGCCGGCGCGGGGAGGACACAGGAAATGGGGCCCGAGCCCCGCCTCCCGGAAATGGCCCTGCTGACACGGAGGGACCGCCCACCGCGCCCCGAGCGGCCCGGCGGGGCGAGGGGCGGGGCCGGAGCGAGGGGGCGGGGAGGAGGGCGGAGCGAGGGGCGGAGCGAGGGGCGGAGCGAGGGGCGGAGCGAGGGGCGGAGCGAGGGGCGGAGCGAGGGGCGGAGCTCCGCGAGGAGGCGCAGGGACCGCGCGCCCCGAGGGGACTCACTGGGGGCCGCGGTCCCCGTCCGGAGGCGGGCTTCCCCTCGCTCCCGCCCGGGCTCGGGCCCGCCTCCCCGCCCGGCGGCTCCCCTCGGCTCCCGGCGGCGGGGGCGGGGGACTCCGGGGCCGCGCCCGCCCCGCCCCGCCCCGCGGTTGCCGGGGCAACGCCGGGACGCGCTAGCGAGCGCGGGGCGCGGAGTCTGGGGGGCCCCGGTCATGGCCTCGCTGCGCACCGCCGACTCCCGGCTGAGGAGCTACTTCAAGGAGAATTACATTCCTCAGGTGTGCGAGGTACTGCAGCCCGCGGCGGCGGCGGCGTTAGAGCAGCGGAGCCCGAAGACGTCCCGGAGGAGGGGCGGGGGTTGGGCCCGGCCGAGAGCCGGGGGGAGAGAGGGCAGGCGGCGCGGCGCCCGGGGCGGACCGGCTCGGAGGCGAGAGCTCCGGGCGAGGCACACGCCCGCGGGAGGGGGGCGGGGCCCGGGACAGGAACCGCGAGCCCCGGACTTAAGGACGCGCAAGTGGGCGGGAGAGCGAGCGGGCAGCGGCGGGCCCCGGGGGAGGCGGAGCCGGGGGCTCCAGGCGGCAGGCCCCGACCCCACACCCCGCCCCTGCCTGACCAGGAGCCCCTCCCCGCGTCGTTACAGCCGGAAGGACTGGAGAGGCCCGGCGGGTTTTGTAGGTTTGGGGATTAGGAAGGCAAGACCCGGTGACTTCCATTTTCTCGACAAATATTTGGTGAGACATATGCTAAGGCGTGCGTGTTTGCGCGGGTTTGGAGGCTGCAGAAGGGGTCTTTTTTTTTTTTTGATTTTTTTTTCTTTAAATTTATCTATGATAGTCACAGAGAGAGAGAGAGAGAGAGAGAGAGAGGCAGAGACACAGGCAGAGGGAGAAGCAGGCTCCATGCACCGGGAGCCCGACATGGGACTCGATCCCGGGTCTCCAGGATCGCGCCCCGGGCCAAAGATCGCGCCCTGGGCCAAAGGCAGGCGCCAAACCGCTGCGCCACCCAGGGATCCCCTGCAGAAGGGGTCTTGAGCAGAGACACGTGTGTGGAGACTGAGGGGGAGAGAAGTCTAGGGAAAGAGACGAGGAGAGCCCGGCAGCCCTGAGAGCCCAGCTTGCGAAAGGGACTGCTGTGCACTGGGGAGGGCAGTTCGGTGCAGCCTTTTTGAATGGTTAATTTAAATTTATTAAATGTTGACTACATATAGCCTTTGACCAAACATTTCACTTCTAGGGATCCACTGGAGAGATAGGCATTCACGTGTATCCAGAAAGCTGTACGAGGATATTCATTATGGTGAAAATAGTAAATAACCTCTATATAAACAAGGGAATGAGATAGTATATAAAGTATGTGTATACCTTTTGAGAAGAAAAGCTCTCCAAGACATAGTTTAGAAGAAGAAGAAAAATGCAAGTTGCCCCAGAAGTGTCTCCTACAATGTAGCTACTGTGATTTCCTATGTGTGTGTGTAGCTACGTTTAAGACAATAATAATGCATGCATAGAACATATGCAAAACTATTAATAGCAAATGTTTCTGGGGATGCTTTTAGGAGAGAACCCTATTTTTTTTTTTGCTGTGTATACTTGTGTATTGTTTTACTTTTCTTCTGATGAGTCTCATTCATGTTTTACTTCTACACGATTATATTTCAAAATATGTAGAGAGCATGGCACTCATCGTCCCCAGGGTGTAGTTTTTCTTTCTTCTTCTTTTTTTTTTTTTAAGATTTTATTTATTTATTCATGACAGACACAGAGAGAGAGGCAGAGACACAGGCAGAGGGAGAAGCAGGCTCCATGCAGGGAGCCTGACATGGGACTCGATCTGAGGTCTCCAGGATCATACCTCAGGCTGAAGGTGGCACTAAACCGCTGGGCCATCAGGGCTGCCCTGGTTTCTCTTAAGTAGCAGTCAGTAAACCTGATGGAGTTACAGAAATAAGATTGACTTCATCCAGGAGAGGTGTTTGCCAGATGTATAGTGTGGAGGGGCGGCAGGGAAGGAGCTAAGCTTTTTAGGGTACCTGAGTGATGGGCCAAGGGACTGGGTAGGAGGTGAGAATGGGACAGGATGTGATACATGGGTAGAAAGTGGAGGTTCCTAAGGAGTAAAGAGGGTTAGTGGTAGTAACTGAGTGCAAGAGCTGGAAAAATAGGAGGGTAGGGGTCCAAAAGTGGAATATTTGGGTTTAAGATTTAGATCACTCAGAATAGCTGCGATGACCCCATCTCAGTTGGCTGTGGGATACATAGCAGAAAGTGGGCTCGAGCTGAGGGTCAGGGAGCATCAGAGAAGTGATAGCCTTTCCTCGCCTTGCTCTCCACTTCCCATAAGCTGGTAGAGATATCCCTGGTTCCTCCTTTGGGTAAGAGCACCCTAGCCCACCAGCCTACACATTGCTTTGCTCCCAGAGAAGGGGAGCCCTCAGAAGTGCCCTTTGCTGAGGGCAATATTCTTATGAGTCCTTCCATCACTTCTGACCACGTTACCAGCAGGGCAAGAGAGCAGGCTTCTGGGACCCCCGCTCCCTCCTTAGCCTGTTTACCCACTTCCCCTAAAGAACAATCAGGATGAACCCGTTGAGCCTCATATCCCTACACAGCTACTCATCTGACCCGATTCGACAGGACTAGCAATCCTCTAAAACCCATCTTCGACAAGCTTTGGAATACATACATTTTTTTTTTTTTAAATCAGGGCTTCCCTGCATATTTAACCCCTTCTGAATTTCTACCGCCTATCCTGAATAAAACCTGGATGTCATTTCCCTGCAAACCCCTGCATAGAGGCTGATTTAAAGAAAACAAACAAACCACAAAACACAACCCTGCTTGACTTAATGGGTTACTGATTCTACTGATTGATATTTTCCATCAGTTTTAGAAAATTTTTGATCATTTTCAAATAATGCTTCTACCCAATTTTCCTTTCTCCTTCTGGGACTGCAATCATAATTATGTTAGTTTTTTCCCACCCCCCCTGCTTTGTTTTTTCCTTATTTTTCTCTTTGTGCTCAAGTTTGGATATTTTTCATGATTGTCTTCAAATTTGTTGATTCTGTTTCATGCTGTGTCCATGATACTGTTAATAAGTATATCAAATGAATTCTTACTTTCAAACAGTATATTTTTCAGTTTTAGAATATCAGCCGATTCTATTTTACACATTCTGATTAAAATTTTGCATGTTTTCAGCTATTTTGTCTATCATTTCCTGTTTTCTTTAATATGTTGTCATTTTAAAATCATTGTTGGGGATCCCTGGGTGGCGCAGCAGTTTGGCGCCTGCCTTTGGCCCAGGGCGCGATCCTGGAGACCCGGGATCGAATCCCACGTCGGGCTCCCGGTGCATGGAGCCTGCTTCTCCCTCTGCCCGTGTCTCTGCCTCTCTCTCTCTCTCTCTCTCTCTCTCTCTATCATAAATAAATAAAAAAAAAATTAAAAAAAAATAAAATCATTGTTAACATGAACAGCTTTGAAGACTCCCAGAATGGGATAATTGTTGAAACTGTGTATGTGCATATAGGGGTTCATTATACTCCTTTACTTTCTGTATGTTTGAAGTTTTCCATAATAAAAAGTTAAAGGATAGTAATGGCTGTGTTTTCTCATACCATACGTAGTTAGGGGCTGTCTGGAATGACAGGTGTGATTGGCTGGTCAGTCATTTTCTGTTTGCTCGCTGTATCAGTTACCCATTGCTATGTCATACAACTGGAAAACTTAGTGGCTTAAAACAAGAATCATTTTGTTTGTTTAGAAATCTGAATTCTGAAAGGTTTTTCGGGGAGAGCTTATGTCTGCTTCATGTGGTACTACCTGGAGTGGATAAACAGGCTTAAAGATCCGCTTTAAAGATGGTGTAAACCTTATTGGTTTAAACAACCAGTGCATTCAGTTTCTCGGACCACAGTGTTTGTGACCATGGTGGGTGGTGGTAATCATGAGACAAGGCAAGATGGGATGTAAGCCAATTTACATCAGGTTGCTGCTTGGAATGCTGGGGCAGAGATATACCATCCCTGGATGTTCCAAGAGAAGCATGTAGCCCTGGGAGCCATTGGTGTTTATCCTGTGTCCACAAGGAAAAATGGTTTTGTGGGCTCCTAGGGGTTTGTACACCCGTCTTAAAGACCATTGGATTGTATGTTCGATTCAAGTTCGTCAGGTAACTTCTATTTTTTTGAACAACAAATTAGGGTCTTGACTCCCGCCAGCCTTTTTTTCTTGGGGGCGGCAGGAGTGGTAAGCTAAGGAGGAGGGTACATTGGACCACTCCATCAGTAAATATTTGCTGGGCATCTACCATGTGCTAGTAGAAAACGCCCCAATGGCTTTGGCCACTTGCAGCTGTGAATCTGAGGTTGTCTCTAGCCCAAATTTTTCTCTTGCATTCTCTGTGCATTTATCTATTTGAGTGTCCTGTGAAACATTAAAGAAGCAAAAATAAATAGGTGATGTTGATTTTAATAATATGTTTTATAAAACCAGTCTGTCCAGAATATAGTCATTTCAACAGGGACTCAATATAAAATCACATTAAGCTTTCAAAACCGGGCATGTATTTTACACTTACAGCCCATCTCAATTTGCACTAGCCATGTCTGAAGTGCTCAATAGCCACGTGTAATTAGTAGCTCCTATATTGGACAGTGCGGGTCTAGAACATATTAACGTATTTAATAAGCCAAGGAAAATTACCCTTGACCCAGAAATGATCACTGTCTCCAAGATGGTTGTTCTTTTCTTTTCTTAAAAAAGAAATTTTATTTATTCATGCATGAGAGACATAGAGAGGCAGAGACACAGACAGAGGGAGAAGCAGGCTCCATGCAGGGAGCCCAACATGGGACTCAATCCCAGGTCTCCAGGATCCTACCCCGGGCTGAAGGTGGCAGTGGCGCTAAACCACTGAGCCACCAGGGCTGCCCAAGGTTGTTTTTTTCAAGGGCACCAAGCTTCTGGAACTTAAGGAAAAGCCTCAGTGTCGCAGTGAGGGTGGAGAGGCTGTCTGAGGGCCAGTCGTCTTGGTTACCTCCTTCCCAGCGATCAGCGGGGTCACACATGGAACAGTTCTTCTCACATGCACCAAAGGAATCTGGTGTCTATTTTTGAATCTAAAAAATAGATTTTATTGTGAAAATGTAAAAAGTAATAAGAGCATTCTATCAACTGAATGTTATGTCTCCCCAAATTCACATCTCGAAGCCTAATCTCCCAGGTGATGGTATCTGGAGATGGGCCTTTGGGAGGTGATTGATTAAGTCATGAGGTGGAGC